ATTGTGTCAGTTATATCGACTGCGCCTGGATTGAATGGAATCAGTTATGCCGCAGTTGCTTTTGTCAGTCTGAACGCATCACGCCAGAGAACATTTGGCTGCGCCTGGAGCTTACCATACACGGTGTTGGTGTGGACCTGGAAGGGGAAAGTGAACTATGTGTTCCTCAAGCAGCGTGCCGTTTAGATGCTTTACCGCCACCGTATTAAATGGCAGGTTGGGCTCTGTTAATATTTTTCCATAAACAGACTTCATACTTTTGGAATGGGGCGCCCAAGCCGCATCGTAGCTGTAGGGTACATATAATATCATCCTACCTAGCTTTAGCCACCATACAAACACAAGCTTATACACTAGTATAGTACATGGCCAATTGATCTTGACGATAATAAGCACTGCGATGAGAGGGAGCTTGGGAACTCAGCTAATTTGTTTTCTGCCAACATCGCGTTGATGATTTCTGTCCTGTCGACGCCCACACGGCCAATGCGGAATTGTCAGAAAACTGTGGGTGGTAGCCCCAGCCCCAATCAACGGTTCCTGAGCGACTATGCCTTGCGGTGGTGCAGCGCAAGGTGCGTGAAATTCCATAGCAGTGATCAGTTACTTCAATGACATCATTTTGAGCACGCTTCCTCAACGTTTTTCAGTGAAGTGATGATGTGATTGTCTTTTGACCCCGTTCCCTCAATCAAACATTGACGGTGGCGCCTTGGTAGTGTTTATCCTTGACCCCCACCCGGAAGCCTGACTCCACACCGCTAAGGTCAAGGTCACAATCGTCAGAATTACAGCGTGTGAATCTCATATGCACAGTAAGACAATCAGTGGACATCAGAGCGCATTACTTTAAAAGTTGGGCTCAGTAAGATGTAACCAGTTCGACATGTCAATGACAGATTTCACATCACACAAACAAATAGAAGGATGTGCACAATTACTAATGCACTAATGAATCTACGCTACTTTCTTCGTTGAAAACCCGTCCAAAGGTGCTGAATTTGCTATTTTGCTCGTCACTCATTCACATCAAATTTGTTCCGTTCAAATTGCTCATTTTGGCCATTTTACTCCTGCTTTCGGGACGCTAAATGTCAAGACTTCTAAAAGCAGCATTTCCTGAAAATGTATTCTTGTGGCTGTATCCAACGTCAGGCTGAGTACTTGAGAACAGCTGCTATCAGTAACAGGTTGGCTATAACTCATCACCATAGTATGAACGTTGCTAGGACGGCTGCACCATGTCACAGCGGCGGGGCTAAGTACATCAATATGGAAGATCGGCTCAGGTGGTTAAGCGAAGAACAGCAACGGCGTGCCGAACGCGCTTTTTCATCGCCAACGGCGCACATTTTGCACCCTCCGTTGAGCTGCTCTGGAGGAGGAGAAGGCTGCCAAAATGCGGGGCAAGGCGAGAGGCAATATGTCCGTCACGTTGTAATGTATATTTCACCTTTTTCTTTACTTTTTATGACAAAAATTAGCGACCTTTGATATTGCAGGAGGCATGGGGAGCGGGAAGTATTTTTTGTGGTAAAGGACAGAAGCAGGTTATGAATGGGTGACTTAGGTTAGTCCCCTTATTTAGAGCTTCTGGGTTTAGCCCGCCAAATTACTGCAAGCTTTATGGCTCTAAATGATTAAAGTATATTGCTTCGTCTAACCATTCAACCAACATGCTTTTTTGCCTGCGTAAAGAGCAATTCTGATTTTGTCACATACCAGTGCTGTGGTGTGCGACAAGTACCGGAAGTAAGTACCGGAAGTACCGAAAGTGCACGTAAGTACCGGAAAACTATCAGTTGGTTCCGAGCGTTTCACAGGAAAAGAGCATTATCACCATGGCGTTACTAGTCTTCACGTGCTGCAACCAAGTCGAAGACAAAAGCTGCACTTCAAAAACAATTGTTGGTTTGGTAGTGTCAGAAGTTTAGATCTAGGTCCAGGTTCGTAAGTACAGGCATGCCACCGCCCAAGGCTATAGAACCAATCATGTCTGCACACCAGCCATGGCCGCAGTAATGGCCCGGCCGGCAGTCAGCTGCTAAGCCCGACTCATTCTCGCATCGCAAGCAAGAGACACGGTAAATTTGTCACCGTTTCTCGTGCTTTTCTAATACAGCGTGTTGTTGGAGTGCCAAGTGTTAAAAGCAGGTGCATTCGCCTTTCTTCCCTGATTCTCGTTTCATCTTGCAACTCGCGGCGCCCCGTTGATCCGGGAAGGCTACGAGCACCAGCCGTGAGTGGCCTGAGTTTACTTAGAGAGGATGCAGGTCAAGCGCTGAGCACGTGCCCCATGTGTTAATCGTTATAAGTCGAGTGGAAAAAGGTGAATGGAAAAAACTGGAACGGTAGCATCGATCTCATCTAGTCGAATGGGAGCAACGTCGACAGGGATAAAGTCGAATGGGAAAAGTCCAAAGAACAAACTGTCGAAGAGGATGCTATCCGACAGGTTGCAAAATTCGCGGGGAAATAAGGCGAGTGACAAATAGTCATCATGATTAAAAGTGAATTGAGATAAAAGTAAACAATCATGCACTAAAAGGGTGTCAGACAAACAATCCATCACCATTTGACGGCCGACATGAAATGTGTTGCTCATATGCACTCGGATGTACTCGTAGATACAATGGCTTTACCTATCTCGCGAGCCTGGGGCCTTTTGGTAGAAAATGGTAATTCGTTAGAATTAAAGCTGAGAATTGCAGGGTGCTTTGAATGCCAAGACGTCACATATACAGCGGTCGGTTGTTTGACAAACCGTAACTCATAGTCATTTATCGTGCAAGGGCGAAAGCCCAAGGAGGTTCCAAGGATGCATAAACATCATTTTCAATTGGCTTTTATGGCGGTAAGAGTTCGTGCAAAGAAAAGACAGTGGCCATGAAACCAGTTCCCTCTCTCCATCTCTTCAACTCGTCCCACCACTCAAATCATCTGCCGGCTTTGTCACTATTGAAAGGTGTCATGCCCAAGCATACCTGCCTTAAAGCAACAATACATGCGCTCCATGCATTTGGGACACAACGATCATTTACCCACTCGAATGTCGCCTTGACCTTTGTCGCTATGCCTACATTGGTCTTAGTCTTGATTTAACTATCGTCCGATACTATCTAAAATGCGATGGGACGGACAGCTGTGCCTTATATGTACATACCACGAAGAAAGTTTCCATTTTACTGACGCTACCACTGATACAGTCATTTCCAGCAAACTTTGGTCAATATTCCACCAGCACTGCGCAAGACGTGACATATACAACGCACGAGATATGATGCAATTTTCGCCAGCTCTCTTGCCTGAGCTATGAGAAAATGTATTGGGAAAGGCTTTGAGAAATGAGCTTTTTCTCATATGAGGTATGAGAAAATATATCCAGCACTTGACGATCAGGGTACAACCCAGAAGCATGGAAAATTTTTGGACCACCGGCAGCGTGTCGCTGGAATGATTTATCGGCGCCATAGTAAGGGCGAGATTTACCCTCTATGATTATTTTTCCATAGGGAAAAGAAAAAAAACAAACCGGACGCTCAAGCCATAATGCAGCTGCCAATTACAAATGCACGAAGTAACGCCCTTCGAACCTTTTCCACTGAAATGATACCAGTTTATACACTGATAGCTTATTAGGCCAAAAGGTTTAGGTGATAATATGCACTGCGCTGAGAAGGAGCTACGACGCCGCGATAGTATATTGCTCCAGCATGGAGCAAGAGACGTTCGCCCACGAAGAGAACGCGAGGCAATGATAGCCAGGTGGATTATATCTTGTCAGTCAACGCCCAAAGGGCCAATATTACAATTCCAAAAAGCTGTGGGCCTCAGGCACTGTCTCGTGTCCCCATGCGTTACGGTCATATAACTCAAGAAACATTAGGAGTTGCAAAATAATGATCATTTACAGTAACGACAGTTATTGCATGCAACAATTCTCGTTCATTCCTTTCATTCCAGTATTGTAATGGTGTTAAGACCTTTTGTCCCCTATAGAAAATAGTGGCATCGCCCATGCGTGAAAGCCTGAGAATGGCATGCCAAAGGGCAACACTACACTGCATGCATTTGCAGGAAAATGGGCGTTTCAGTGGGGCACAGCTGTATTACGTCTGCAACATTGCCCACCTCCACGCGCGCACCGTGTCAAGAAAACGTATGTCTGCACGTGGGCCACCATCTGTCGTGCAATCTCGCTGGGCGACCGCCCCAAGCAGCTGTGGATGGTGACGTCATCGAAGCTGCGCAGACGAAAATGACAACTGTATAGCCTATACTGCTGCCAGATGTATTCACGACAGAAAACGTTGACGTCATTGACGGTCCGGACGCCAATCACAGACATAAACTCACACCACATCAGATCTGCCCATAGCACGAAGACAATAATCCAGATGGTGAAAGAACGGCACAAATCATGAAATGCGTAAGGTGCGGACATTACCCACACATGCGCTATCTATTTTAATGCCCTTGCCGCTTTTGAACCCTGCGCAATTACACCACGTGTGATTTAGACGGACATTATAGCTATAATGTGGTGAAGGTGAAGAACGCCACCGACTCTATCTGCTGTTTGGTGATGGAGACGAAAGAACAATGTGGGAGGCAGACATGCTAGTATTACATGGCACCCAGACTACCAAGGTGCTCAAGCAGGCGCACAGCCGCCACCTCATCGCTAGTCATGCGGCTTGTAAGTCATAAAGGCTAGTCACGCCGCTTGTTGGCCATCAGGCCAGTTACGTGGCTTTTAGGTTACAAAGGCCAGTCACACAGCTTGTAGGTCATAGGACCAGTCCGTGGCTTTTAGGTCACAAAGGCTAGTCACGCAGATTATAGGTCACAAAGGCTAGTCACGCGGTTTGTAGGTCATAAAGGCTAGTCACGCGGCTCGTAGGTCATGCAAGTTAGTCACGCGGCTTCTAGGTCATAAAGGACAGTCGCGCAGCTTGTAGGTCACAAAGGCTAGTCACGCGGCTTGTAGATCATACAGGCTAATCACGCGGTTTGTAGGTCACAAAGAACTCGGGAGGCTGCTGCAGCACGACCGCGAACCTGGCCTCCAGCGAGAGTTTCTGCCCCGGAACGGCGGTGAAGCTGAAACGCTGCAGCAGGCAGGTGAAGAGCATGAACATCTCCATGCGCGCCAGCGTCTCTCCCAGGCAAAGCCTCTTCCCGATGCCGAACGGGATGAGCCGCTCATCACGGCGCACGCTGCCGTCGGCGTGCAGGAACCGGTCGGGCCTGAACGCCTCCGGGTCACCCCAGTACGCCGGGTCCATGTGCACCATGTGCAGATGCATTATCACCGTGGTGCCCTTGGGAATGGTGTAGCCGCGGAACGAGATGTCACTCAGTGCACAGTGCGGCGCTGCGCCAGGGATGACCTTGGAACGCCGCATCACCTCCATCAGCGTGGCTTCAGTGTACGGCATGCGCATGCGGTCGCCGTAGGTCGGCGGAATTCGGCCGAGAACAGCGTCGATCTCGCGCTGCACGCGACTCTGAACCTCTGGATGCTTGACCATAAAGAGCAACGCCCAGCTCAGAGAGGTAGACGTCGTCTCCATGCCAGCGATGAACAAGTCCATGCCGATAATGGACAGGTTGCGTTCGGTGAAGAGGCGAGCCTCAGCATCTGGCTTCTCCATCTCCAGCAGAAACTGGTCGATGAAGTCGCGGGGGCTGGAGCGGTCCAGCGTCTGCCGATGCTCGTGGACCACCTCGTGGAACATGCCGACCGTGGTCTCGCGATGTCGGATCAGCGGCGCGTAGCCGCTCCACTCAGGGGCGATGTGACGCAGCCACGGCGCCAGGTTCATCGGGTTACCCGGACCGATGGTAGTGAAGAATTCGTTGACCGTCGCGATGTAGTGTTGGGCCTTGGGGTCACTACTCTCCAGCCGCTTGTCGGCGACCAGTCTCCAAAGTATGTTCAGCACCGTCAGGTTGAAGCGAAAGTTGACCTTCATCGGTGAGTCAATTTCACGCTTCATCTCCTGGGAGAGCTCTTCGAATTCGTTCAAAACTGTCGACTCCATGGAGTTCTTCCCGAAGCCCAAATCCCTAAGGTGCCTCAAAGCAAAGCGCCTGTGCTCCACCCAGGCAGGGCCTTCGCTGAAAATGACACCAAGCTTTTGTTGGAAGCTGCGGACTAGCAGAGCAAAGCTGTTCGGTCTTCCAGACATTTCTTGCATCGCGCACGCCTCTTTGATGTCTTCAAACTTGCAAATGTGCACAGTCTTCTCACCAGTGGGAAGCACGAAGCCAAGAATATCTCCAAACTCGTGCCGACAATGCTTTATGCTCTCCAGAAACTGGCCTCGAATCGACTCAATCGCCGTCCAAAGATTGCCAAAGATGAGAAATGTTGGGGGGCCTGAAAAAGAGCGCCTTTTTAGTCTCAACCAATTTCACTTTGAGCCATTGAGGGATGCGTTTCACCGGAAGTGTCCTCAAAATCTGCGCCGTGGTTGCGCCGTCGTAGCACATATGGAAGCTAGAAACATTCGTGCATTTAATAACAGTGAAGGCTACAGTGCCACGGTAAGAAATCGACCATGGTTTGATAGAAGGCATGAATATGCTCACGACTGGGATAAATCCATGAAATCTGAAGTGATACATCGATTGAGCTGTGTTCAATTGGTGTTTCCTAAACACATATGCTGGAATAGATAAGGCCAGTACGAATGGATTGGAACAGGCTCAATATTTAAATGTCAGGTGTAGGGGAAGTAAATGTTCCATGCGTGCTATACTTCGCCCCAAGTAAAAGGTAGGATATAAAAGGCCGGCACGTTGCAATTAGAAACGGCTTTCTGCGAAGCTCAGTTGTAAAGTAAGCCCACAGCTTGTGGAGGAATACAGATTATTTCGGAAAATATGTCCACTTTTATTCTTTGAGCAACAGTGGACACGGGAGTCATAAAAAGAAGGATGTGTGCGGAAACGGCAAAGCATGATGATTTGAATCAATTTTGGAAGTCCATTTATGACCATGTGTAATTCTGCCGATGGCTAAGGTTTTACCTCATACGTCTGAAGCAAGTACCTTTATAGCACATCATTCACAACCGGAGAAAGTTGAGCCACAAGAATTTCGCCGTGCCTCTGCATGAGCTCACACTTGTGCACCTATCCAACGAACAACCAGTGCCCCCCACAGGGGCGCGGGAACTACGTGCAATGGTCCTCTTAAAATCAGATAGCGTGCTGCGTACAGGCCCTAATGAGCCTTTTACAGATCAGAATGTGTCCTCTGTAGTTCAGAAGTCGCCCTCTACAGGCCAGAATGGGCTTCCACGGTCAGAAATGGACACTCCAAACGTCGGAATGTCCTGTTGCAGGCCATATTGGCCCCCTAACCACGGGCCATTAAGAAGGCAGAATGGGCCTTCACAGTCGATAATGGAACCTCTACATGCCAGAATGGACACAGTACGGTTCAAAATAGACGACGACGATTTCGCTCTCCGCAGGACGAAATAGACTCTCAACAGTCGATAGTGGACAGGCTACAAGTCAGAATGAGTTCACTATGCACTCAAGTTTACAATGGGACCTATACGAACCGAATGGACCTTCGTTAGGCCAGAATGAGCTCTTTTTAGGCCATTATGGGCCCTCCACAGGCCTGAATGAAGTCCTCCTAGCCAATAATATGGATTTTACATGTCAGAACGAGCCCTGTTTGGGTGATTCAACCCTTCACGAGCCAGAATGGGCCCTCTACAGATCAGGATGAACCACCGCCTGGGGGGCGCCTGCAGCTTTCAAAAAGAAGGAAGTAAGCTTGCCCCACTGCCTCCCTTTCTCACATCCACCCTTCTCAACGCTAAATTGCCGCATCTTTGGTCACCCAACTAGCTCTGCGAGCGCAAATATGTACCCGGCGGAAAGTTGGTCGGTCGCTGCGGCCTTCGAATCCATAGGAACGCCGTCACCAGCAGCAGGAGCACAGCGAGAACCCACATGACAGCGAGCACAGGCGGCGCGGCCGGAACACGCTCCGCTGGCGACCTCCAGGCGCGCGCAGCGATCCACGACTCCCCGATGTCGCCGCGAACATGCCTCTCAGAGCCCCGGTTCTCGCGCCGGGGCGGTCACCTGACCTTGGTTCGCAGACGTTGCCACAGAGTGCTGCCAGATCGAGGACAGCCGATGTGAATTGGCCGGTCACTGGCATCGCCGCGGCCGCGAAAGTCGCTATAACTTTGGCGGCTTCTACAGATCTCGTGCCAATCTCACGCTACTCAACTATCCAGTTTTATTTTGCCGTGTGTTATCACATGCCATTTCCGTCACCAAGCAACCATTAGGTGGGCCATTGGAGGTATGACGTTGAAGAGTTCCAGATATATCAGCTTATGTGCTCGGAATATAGGGACCACTGCACGTGACATTTCCTGTTTTTTTTCCTGGTATCTTACAGCCCGGTTAAATTTCCGATTGACTTGGCAGAAGTGTTAGCAGGTCGGCATGAAAGACAGATGACAGCTTCGCCCCGAGGACGGGTATGTCTCTGTCTGAGTGCCACGGGTTGGGGTCGCCGGCGGTCCACGGCCGGTCCGCCGAACCCAGTCGACACTGTTCGTTCGCGTGGGTCCGCTCGAAAGCCTCCAGGGCGCGTCGTTCTCGCAAGGGTAGCTGCCATTCACGACTGGCATACAACGGCTGGTAGCCACCGCTTGTCACCCATTCCCAGCGATCCCTTTCTCGGGCTCTGAGGCGGAGTTTGAACATGTGTCCAAAAATCTGGCTCGTTGTTCTGGTTCAGACTTGATCCTTGATCCACTATAAAAACCCGAGTCCCTTTCTTATCTGGTTTCACGTGTTCGAACATGAGCCAAGTCCTTGGAGATTGAGTTGTGTCCGAGTCTAGCCCTTGAGCCTCCTTACAAGTGTATCGGGTCAATACGAGATCACGAAGGCCAAATAAAGTTACATGTCCCATAAGTGGTGCGAAAAATTATCGAAAATTGCATTGTATTACATATTTAACCCATCCATGCAGTATCGCTATTCACGATTAGCGACACCATGTACAAGGTATAATACAAAAGGTACAAAGCAAGGCAGACACACATTGCACGCAAAAGCTGCTAGTCAGTGGAGTTTCCCAGAAGCCAATGGAGCCAAGCACAGAGCGAGCGGCTCTCACGCCCTCAGTGCTCTCAGAGACGCACGAAACGCGGACAGTGTCGGACGCTCAGTGGCGGCCGGAGGCAGCTGGTTCCACCAGGCGGCAGCACGGTCGCGAAACCCGCTCTGTGGGGCCGGGAGTTTGTACTTCGGCAACTTAACGTCTCCGGTCTCAGATGAGTGGGTGGCCCGGTAAGACACTGCAACTCAAGGGACAAACATGCGACGAATTGTCAGCGAGCTTGCACGTGGAAGTCTTCAGCTTTATTGATGTTCTCACTGGTTCCGATTAAGGTGAAGTGTGTTTTTCTGAGCTCACCTTTAGTGAATTTGGTCTGAACCTGCGCTGGGATGTCCCGAAGGAGCCTTTAATAAGCCGTTTTAGTGATTTTACATTTCCAGGGTTGGGTGGCGAGTATTCAAGCAGCTCCGTGTGGTCAGCAATGCTATCACTCGACAGCCCAGTCAGAGACGGTGAAGATCATTCGTAAACAAGCTGAAGAGATTCAACCCGAGGTTCAAAATAGGCCTCTGGGGCACCTCGAAACGGACCGGCCGAGTCGCCGTACCGCCTCTCGCCAGCTGCCTCCGGCCGCTCAGATAGCTCCGGAGCGACGTTGGGTCAACAACGTATCATACCGGCTTGTTCAAGAGCACGCCATGGTCAACACTGTCGAAGGCTTTGCTGAGGTCGCGGCGGTAACTGTGGAAATCTCACCGCGTTCTGAGTTTTGATTGATTCGTTCGACAGCGCCGAGCGCGGCTTCCTTGGTGCAGAGGGAAGGCCTGCGCGCATATTGATCATGAAACAAAATGCTGCGATTACATGGATACCGAGAGAGTTGATCACGGAAATTTTCTCAGCAAGTTTAGACAAGTGAGGTAGAAGGGAGACCGGAAGATAGAGAGCTCGTACACGTCGCCTCTCGCTTTGTAGATGGGGGACCACCTCGGATGTGTTCCACTTTTCGGGAAAAATCCTCTCCGTCACAGACGCTTTAACAATGCACAGCTGATGCGGGCTCATCACTATGAAACAACGCTTGACTACGCTTAACGGTACCCAGTCTAAACGGACCGCTTCAGACGAATTCATGCGTCTCACAAGTCCGCCAACTGCGGTGGGATGACTAGCTGGAGCTGCAACGCCGCCGAGGCGGCGATGGGCGGACGCGGGTCCGGATCGGCCGTGACGTCGTCGCTCAGGTCGGCTGCGATTCGAGAGTTCACCGACGAGAAGAACTCGTTGAAACGGTCCATTCCGCTGAAACGGTGTCCGGTGGTTGACTGCTGACCGACCGTTCCGTGTCTCCCTACAGTGGCCGGCCTACGCTGTGTCCAGCGACTGACCACTGACCGTCCCTCCCCTGTCTCCCAACAGCGGACGGCCTGCGCTGTGTCCAGTTGTGTCGAGCGACTGACCACTGACCACCCCCTGTCTCCAGGGCGGGCACAAGCAAAAACGCTCGCGCTGTATCCAGTGCCTGACTTCTGCCCGGCCGTCCCCTGTCTCCCGCGGCAGGAAGTTTGCGCTGTGTCCAGTGCCTGACTTTTGACGAACTGTCCCCTGTCTCACGTAGCAGGAAGCTCGCGCTGCGTTCAGTGCCTGACTTTTGACCGACCGTCCCCTGTCTCCCGCAGCAGGAAGCTTGCGCTGTGTCCAGTGCAGCTCCGGGACGGGCACCAACGTCTCTCACTGCGTCACGGTGCTGCCGCCGCCCAAGCCGTGCGGTGCCGACCTCAGCCACTGCATCACGCTCAGCGAATACCGCAACCTCGGCGTCCATGGCACAGGCGAGTCGTCTACGGTGGCATCCACCGGGTGTCTGTGAGCCATCCGGTCATGACTGTAAGCCGTCCGGTGATGTCTGTAAGCCATGCGGTGATGTCTGTAAGCCATCTGGTAATATGTA